CAACAGTGTTTGTTTTCTTTTCTTAAATGCCTGTCTTATGGCACTAAGCAGGGAAAAGCTAATTATTAAATATTGCTTGACTGAAATTTGAACCATATTCTCCCCTAACTTATCTCAGAAATCACTACTATTTAATAATATTAAGTTTGTGTTTATATGTAATTTTTTTTTTTTTGAGACAGTCTCAGTCTGTCACCAGGCTGAAATGCAGTGGTGCAATCTCGGCTCATTGCAGTCTCCACCTCCCGTGTTCAAGTGATTCTCCTGCCTCAGCCTCCCGTATATGAGATTTTAAAATGACCCCACTTTGATTAAAATGACCATCCCTGAAAGTGAAGCCAAAAGGAAGGAATCCTCGTAACCTACTCTGCCATGACTTGGGCTTTAAATAAACCTGTTTTCAATACTGATATTCAGGTTACCTGCAGTTTTTATGTCATCCAAATGTTTTATGTTTCATTGATTTTGATGGAGAATCAAAAGACTCTTGTGTCTGAAGTATACACATACACCTTGACAAGGAGACTGGACATAGAGACATGTCAGGGAGCTGATACTCCAGGAGCTGGATCAGTAAAGGGAAACTGGTTTCTTGCTGAGAGGACAGTGATAACCCCACTCACATGCACTGAGATTAGCAGGTCTAGACTCCTCTACTCCTATATGGGCCTAGTGGCTGGTGGCCAGATTAAAAACAAAGAGCATTTCTTGTTGCTTTGCATGTGAAGAAAATGAAGTTTTTTGAGTCAGGGTCTGTTCATTCAGATTTCTGTCTCTTCACATTCTTTTTTTTTTTTTTTGGGCAGGGTCTGGCTCTGTAGCCCAGGGTGGAGTGCAGTGGGAACACGATCATAGCTCACTGCAACCCCTGCCTTCCAGGCTCAAGCCATCCTCCCACAGTAGCTGGGTCTATAGGTTCATGCCACCACAGCCTCCCCAGTAGCTGAGTCTATGGGCGCATGCCACCACACTTGGCTGATTTTTTTCTATTTTTTGTAGAGACAGGGGTTTCACTATGTTGTCCAGGCTGGTCTCAAACTCCTGGACTCAAGCAATCTGCCCACCTCAGCCTCTCAAAGTACTAGGATTAGTGGCTTGAGCCACCACACCTGGCTGTGTCTTCACATTCTAAAATAACTCTGTAGGGAATGTTCCAGAGGGCCCTCCACAGCAAGGAAAATCAAGTGTGTGTCTTCTGCAACTTAAGCTTATGTGCCTTTTCAGCTGCTCATTTGCAAACACTGTGTGTTTAACTGAGCTTAGCTTTTTGGGGTGTAGGCATAATAGTATGGCCTATTGGTTTCTCCAGATAGAAAAACTTTTGAGCATCTGAACTGGCGGACCCTCTGTGGAAAAGAAAGATTTCTGAAGGTATCAGCCAGTTCCAAAGTGAGGTGGATTGGATGACGAGAGGTATTATTGGCTATGATCAAGGAAGATGTTTGCATCTGGGGAAACAGCTTTGGGACAGAGATGATTTTATTTTTTATTGATTTATTTTTTGAGATGGAGCCTTTCTCTGTTGCACAGGTTGGAGTGCAGTGGTATGATCGTAGCTCACTCCAAGCTCTGCCTTGTGAGTGATTTTCGTGCCTCAGCCTCCCGAGTAGCTGGGATCAGGCACCTGCCACCATGCCCAGCTAATTTTTTGTATTTTTAGTAGAGACAGGGTTTTACCATGTTGTCCAGGCTAGTCCCAAACTCCTGACCTCAGGTGATCTGCCCACCTTCGCCTGTCAAAGTGCTGGGCTTACAGGCATGAGCCACTGTGGCCAGCCACAGAGATGATTTTAAATGGCCACTTGGGTAGGACTTCTTATGGAGAAGACCTTTAGGTGGGGTTATGACCTAGGGAGTTAGCAACTGGGCAGTTCTGCCAATAATGGGATAGCTTTGCAAGTAATAGGACTTTATAGCCCAATTTAATTGTTGTATCCCCTTTCTCCAGGAGTTGTTTGTATATAATATTTCTTTTGTTTTGTTTTTGAAATGGGTCTTGCTCCGTCACCTGGCTGGAGTGCAGTGATGCAATCATGGCTCACTGCAGCCTCAACTTCCCACGCTGAAGTGAACCTCTTACCTCAGCCTCCCGAATAGCTGGGACTGACCACAGGCGTGCACCAGTGATATGGTTTGGTTGTGACCCCACCCAAAATTTCATCTTGAATTGTAATCCAAATTGTAATCCTCACGTGCTGGGGGAGAGACCTGGTGGGAGGCGATTAGATGTCCTTTTAAACAATACTTAAAGAGAACTATACTCTAGTCATATAATTTCAGATGTAATCATTTAAACATAAAAATTGTTGCTTTATTGTCCCTTCCTATGGAATTAAAAACTGACATTTCCTCCCATACTCTAGCACTATTCTTCTCCTTGTTCTCTTGCTTGAGGGGTGTAGTAGATAGCTTCTCCCCAGCTATCTTCAAGGAAAATAGGGGAGCAATTCTGAAAAAATGTTTGAGCCCATGAAATGTTAGCTAAGTTCTCCAGATCATTAAGGATCTTGTGTGCTATAGATGGATAAATCATTACATTAGCAATAAAAAGGACATTTTTTTCCCTCTGAGCCCTGAAAAATAAAAGTGATTAGAAGCTAAGTGGCTAAATCAAACTGCATTGTAAAAAGCATTCTTGTCTTGCAAATAATCAGATATCCAGAGCAGTGCTATAAAAAGCATTTATTTTTCCCCTTTTTTCCATTGTAGGGAAAGAATACCATCCTAGGTCCAACTTAATTGGTGGAATAGACTGAGGGGAGAGGAAGAGCTGAGATGCAGTTGTTAGATAGGCCTGCTAACTAGGGTGAACCAGGGACTGGGGAAGGCAGCTTGGCTCACAGCAGCAGTTTAACCCAGCCAAAAAGCAGTGATGTCCAAGGAATACTGTAAACTCTGGTTGTGGTTCAGGCAGAGGTTGACAAATGGGGGTTCCAGAGGGTGGGTAGAGCACCCCAATAAGAATTTTAGGCTGGTGCTAACAAGTCTGGGCAGACACTTGCCATTTATAAGACAGTTGCCATTTATAGGGATGGTGTGTGTGATTAGTGGGGACTCTGGCCCAGAGCTAGGGATCAGGGGCAGCACTTTAGTGCCTGGGGGAGAGGCCTGGCTAGAGTTACACAGAACTCCAGGCAGGTTTCATAGGAGTTTCAGGATACTGGGTAAGTTACCAGTTCAGGAACTTGGAAATAGTCTAATAATTTTAAAATGTTATTTTCTCCTTCAAGCTGTAGAACATAGATCAAGACCACTTTCCAAAGCAGCTCTGAACCATTAATATTCCCACCAGTAGTGGGAGTTTTTCACACCTTGCCAACACTTGGTATTTTCCCACTTGTTTGTTACAGCCATCCTAATGGGAAGTGGTATCTCACTGTGGTTTTGGTTTGCATTTCCCTGATAACTAATGATGTTGAACATCTTTTCATGTGTTTATTGCCCATCTGTATATCTTTTTTTCCGTTTTTTTTTTTAAGAGACAGGAGTTTCGCTATGTTGTTCAGGCTAGTTTTAAACACCTGACCTCAAGCGATCCTCCTGCCTTGGCCTCCCAAAGTGCTGGGATTACAGGCGTGAGCCACCACACCAGGCCCTGTATATCTTTTTTTCCCCCTCTGGTTTCTTGTGTGTTTGGCATCATATTTAAGATATTGCCAAATCCAAGTAATGAAGATTTTCACACCTATATTTTTTCCTAAGTTTTGTAGTTTTAGCCCTTAGATTTAGGTCTTTGATCCATTTTGAGTTAATTTTCTTGTATGGTATGAGTAGGGGTCCAGTTTCATTCTTTTGCACATGGATATTCAGTTGAAAAGACTTCTTTCTCTAGTGAATTGTTTTAGCATCCTTACTGAAATTAATTGACCATACACCACTTTAGAATTTTAAGCAGAGGAGTGACATGATTTCTTTTACGCTTTAAGACAATATTGCTGGCTGCTATATAGAGAGTGTATTGGAGAGGGTAAGAGTTTATGTAGGGAGACCAGTGAGTAGGAAACTGCAGTTATCCAGGCCAGAGATGATGGTGACTTGGGCCACAGTAGTGGTAGCAGAGATGGAAAGAAGGTTGTTATAACTTGGGAAGTAAAGTTAGTAGGACTTGGGACTGCCTGGCCTGAGGGTGGGGCATAAAAAAAAAAGGAAAGGACAAGGATGACTCATATTTAGGTTGGGGTCAAGGATTATCTTCAGATTTGAAGTTTGGGTGGCTAAGCAGATGGTAGTGTTATTTACTACCACACAAATGGAGAAACATGTTTTTAGAGGGGAAATAATGAGTTTAGTTTGGGATGAATTGAATTTGACTTCAAGGAGAGATGTCCAGAAGGCAGTTGAATGGTTCTACATTAGAGCTTGAGGGACAGCTCTGGGTTAGAGGGAGTGATTTGGGAGTCATGAGCACATAGGTGGGAGTGGAAGCTCTGGGAAAACTTGAGGAGAGACTAAAAAGAGTGAGAAGAGGTCCTAGGACTGAGTCCTCTGGTAGAAAGAACACAGAAGAAATGGTCAGGGAAGAGGAGGAAAACCAGAAGGAATCTATAGGAATCTGGTGAAAGGAGGGGATTTTAAGAGGGGAAAGTAGTGGTCAGTAGTGTCAAATGCATCACAGTGCTCTAGTAAAATAAGGCCAGAGAAGTTCCCATGTTTCCTTGTCCCTACACATAGAGGATTGTTTGTTTTACAAAAAAAATCACTTCATATTTCTTATGGGTGCCAACTTTAACAAAGTACTGTGGAATCAATAACCTTTGCACATTAATTTTCCACAACTAGTGTCTGAAGGTGTTGCTGGCAGCATCTGGTGGATATTTGTGTCTCAAGTGACACCAGCTTTCACTGGCATCTTCTGTGCTAATCTTTCCCATCCTGAATTGAGGATATTAAAAGTCCAGCTGCAGTTTGGATTCCAAAATGAACTCTAAAGCGTTCTTAGACTGAATGTTCAGTGTTTCCTTTCTTTTCTTTTTTATTTTATTTTATTATTTATTTTATAGATATGTGAAAGAGGCCAAAGAAGCAGCTAAGAATGGAGATCTGGAAGCAGCATTAAAATTTTTCAATTTGGCAAAGGACATTTTTCCCAATGAAAAGGTGCTGAGCAGAATCCAAAAAATACAGGAAGCCTTGGAGGAATTGGCAGAACAGGGAGATGATGAATTTACAGATGTGTGCAACTCTGGCCTGCTGCTTTATCGAGAACTGCACGACCAACTCTTTGAGCATCAGAAGGAAGGTGTAGCTTTTCTCTATAGCCTGTATCGGGATGGAAGAAAAGGTGGTATTTTAGCTGATGATATGGGATTAGGGAAGACCGTTCAAATAATTGCTTTCCTTTCTGGTATGTTTGATGCTTCACTTGTGAATCATGTGCTGCTGATCATGCCAACCAATCTTATTAACACATGGTTAAAAGAATTTGTTAAGTGGACTCCAGGAATGAGAGTCAAAACCTTTCATGGTCCTAGCAAGGATGAACGAACCAGAAACCTCAATCGGATTCAGCAAAGGAATGGTGTCATTATCACTACATACCAAATGTTAATCAATAACTGGCAACAACTTTCAAGCTTTAGGGGCCAAGAGTTTCTGTGGGACTATGTCATCCTTGATGAAGCACATAAAATAAAAACCTCATCTACTAAGTCAGCAATATGTGCTCGTGCTGTTCCTGCAAGTAATCGCCTCCTCCTCACAGGAACCCCAATCCAGAATAATTTACGAGAACTATGGTCCCTATTTGATTTTGCTTGTCAAGGATCCCTGCTGGGAACATTAAAAACTTTTAAAATGGAGTATGAAAATCCTATTACTAGAGCAAGAGAGAAGGATGCTACCGCAGGGGAAAAAGCCTTGGGATTTAAAATATCTGAAAACTTAATGGCAATCATAAAACCCTATTTTCTCAGGAGGACTAAAGAAGAAGTACAGAAGAAAACAAGCAACCCAGACGTCAAACTTAATGAAAATAATCCAGATGTTGATGCCATTTGTGAAATGCCTTCCCTTTCCAGGAAAAATGATTTAATTATTTGGATACGACTTGTGCCTTTACAAGAAGAAATATACAGGAAATTTGTGTCTTTAGATCATATCAAGGAATTGCTAATGGAGACGCAGTCACCTTTGGCTGAGCTAGGTGTCTTAAAGAAGCTGTGTGATCATCCTAGGCTGCTGTCTACACGGGCTTGTGGTTTGCTAAATCTCAGGACTGTCACATTCTCTGCTCGAGATGAAAATGAAGGGGAAGATTCCCCAGACATGGGCCATATTGATCAAATAAGTGATGACACATTGATGGAAGAATCTGGAAAAATGATATTCCTAATGGGCCTACTTAAGAGGCTGCGAGATGAGGGACATCAAACTCTGGTATTTTCTCAGTCGAGGCAAATTCTAAACATTATCGAACGCCTCTTAAAGAATAGGCACTTTAAGACACTGCGAATCGATGGGACAGTTACTCATCTTTTGGAACGAGAAAAAAGAATTAACTTGTTCCAGCAAAATAAAGATTACTCTGTTTTTCTGCTTACCACTCAAGTAGGTGGTGTCGGTTTAACATTAACTGCAGCAACTAGAGTGGTCATTTTTGACCCTAGCTGGAATCCTGCAACCGATGCTCAAGCTGTGGATAGAGTTTACAGAATTGGACAAAAAGAAAATGTTGTGGTTTACAGGCTAATCACTTGTGGGACTGTAGAGGAAAAAATATACAGAAGACAGGTTTTCAAGGACTCATTAATAAGACAAACTACTGGTGAAAAAAAGAACCCTTTCCGATATTTTAGTAAACAAGAATTAAGAGAACTCTTTACAATCGAGGATCTTCAGAACTCTGTAACCCAGCTGCAGCTTCAGTCTTTGCATGCTGCTCAGAGGAAATCTGATACAAAACTAGATGAACATATTGCCTACCTGCAGTCTTTGGGGATAGCTGGAATCTCTGACCATGATTTGATGTACACATGTGATCTGTCTATTAAAGAAGAGCTTGATGTGGTAGAAAAATCTCACTATATTCAACAAAGGGTTCAGAAAGCTCAATTCCTTGTTGAATTTGAGTCTCAAAATAAAGAGCTCCTGATGGAACAACAAAGAAATAGAAATGAGGGGGCCTGGCTAAGAGAACGTGTATTTCCTTCTTCAACAAAGAAGAAATGCCCTAAATTGAATAAACCACAGCCTCAGCCTTCACCTCTTATAAGTACTCATCATACTCAGGAAGAAGATATCAGTTCCAAAATGGCAAGTGTAGTTATTGATGATCTGACCGAAGAGAGTGAGAAACAAGATCTTTCCAGTATAAAGATGAATGCTACCACCTTGCAAGATGGTAGGCACCCATGTGAAAGTACATGCAGTGCTTACTCTATAGCTACTTTATCCAAGGGGTTTGGAAGTGTAGAAGTTTTTATGAACTCTTCATTGGGAATGGAAAAAAGCTTTGCAACTAAAAATGAAGCTCTACAAAAAGAGACATTACAAGAGGGGCCTAAGCAGGAGGCACTGCAAGAGGATCCTCTAGCAACTTTTAATTATTTACCCAGCAAATCAACTAAAGCTGATCTTGGGCCAAATCTAGATCAACTAAAGGATGATGAGATTTTACATCATTGCAATCCTTGGCCCATTATTTCCATAACAAATGAAAGTCAAAATGCAGAATCGAATGTATCCATTATTGAAATAGCTGATGACTTTTCAGCATCCCATAGTGTACTACAGGATGCTCAAGCAAATGAGGCCAAGTTGAAAGAGGAAGCTTCAGCATCTTCACCACAGTATGCATGTGATTTCAATCTTTTCTTGGAAGACTCAGCAGACAACAGACAAAATCTTTCCAGTCAGTCTTTAGAGCATGTTGAAAAAGGAAATAGATTGTGTGGCTCTGCAGCTAATTCCAGAGCAGGGTTTGTGCATAGCAAAACATGTCTCAGTTGGGAGTTTTCTAAGAAAGATGATGAACCAGAAGAAGTAGTAGTTAAAGCAAAAATCAGAAGTAAAGCTGGAAGGATTGTTTCAGATGATGAAGATGAAGATGATTCTTTTAAAGATACCTCAAACACAAACCCATTCAACACATCTCTCTTTCAATTCTCATGTGTGAAAAAATTTGATGCTTCAACTCCCAAAAATGACATCAGTCCACCAGGAAGGTTCTTTTCATCTCAGATACCCAGTAGTGTAAATAAGTCTATGAACTCAAGAAGATCTCTGTCTTCTAGGAGGTCTCTTATTAATATGGTTTTAGACCATGTGGAGGATATGGAGGAAAGACTTGATGACAGCAGTGAAGCAAAGGGTGCCGAAGATTATCCAGAAGAAGGGGCAGAGGAAAGCAGTGGCGAAGCCTCTCAATGTACAGAAGAGGATCCTTCCGGAGAAACACAGTCTTCAGAAAACAAGTCCAGCTGGTCAATGATGTCTAAGTCTAGTGCTCTAGCTCAGGAGACCTCTCTTGGTTCCCCTGAGCCCTTGTCTGGTGAACAGTTGGTTGGTTCTCCCCAGGATAAGGTGGCAGAGGCTGCGAATGACTATGAGACTCTTGTAAAGCGTGGAAAAGAACTGAAAGAGTGTGGAAAACTCCAGGAGGCCCTAAACTGTTTAGTTAAAGCGCTCGACATAAAAAGTGCAGATCCTGAAGTTATGCTCTTGACTTTAAGTTTGTATAAACAGCTTAACACTTGAGAATGTAACCTGTTTATTGTATTTTAAAGTGAAGTAATATGAGGAATTTTGTTTCCATAATTGGATTGTTTGGGAACACGAAGCATTTAGGGTTAAGGCAAGAAAGATCTCAAAAAGCAACTTCTGCCCTGCAACTCCCCCCACTCCATAGTCCGGTATTCTGAGCACTAGCTTAATATTTCTTCACTTGAATATTATATTTTAGGCATATTCTGTAAACTTAACTGTGTTGTTTCTTGGAAAGTTTTGTAAAATTATTCTGGCCATTCTTAATTTTACTCTGAAAGTGATAATCTTTGTATGTAACAGTTCAGTTAAGAGAATTAAAGTTACTTTTCTTGTTTTTTCCATCCACTTTCTTTCACTGAGACTGGCAGAGCTTGTCACTAGCATTCCAGATCTTAAGAGATGCTTGTGAACATGCTGTTTAATGCTTTCAGCTTAATATAGATTGGTGTCCCTAATCCAAAAATCCAAAATGGGAAACCTTCTGAATGCTGACATGATGCCACAAGTGGAAAGTTCCATACCTGATGTCATGTGACATGTCACAGTCAAAATGCAGGTGTATAACACAGTTTACTCAGCATCCCCAAAGGAAAAGAGACCCTGTCAGCCCCCTTCAACTACTATATATCCTTTCCACACAGATCCAGATTCTTCCATGCAAGCCTGCCTACAAAGGATAATGAAATGGCTCAACATACACAAACTTTGTTTCATGCACAAAACCATTAAATATAATTTATAAAACTACCTTCAGACTATGTATATAATGTGAATATGAAACATAAATGGATTTCATGTTTAGACTTGGGTCCCATCCCCAAAATATCTCATTATGTGTATGCAAATACTAGCAAATTCAGAACACTTGTGGTCCTCAGCATTTTGGATAAAGGGTACTAAACTGGAACAGCAGAAAGCTGAGATAGGTACCTGGTGCTAGGATTCTTGATCACTGGTAGCTTGCCCTGGAGTCACTGCTGACCATTTAGCCATTCTTCATGCACCATTAACTGCGTTCTCCTTTTCTCCACACCAAGTATCTCGTCTATTCCGACACATGCTATCACAGTTTATCTTTGGATTGTAAACTGACCTTGCAGAAACAAAGTGCAGTATAGCACGCTGGACTCTTGTCACCAGAGAAGTGGACTATCCTTGATGAGGTACTCTGTATTGAGCACTCTACACAGGTTTCTCATTTCAGCCTTACCATAATCCTTTGAGGTGGAGGGAGAGTAGCATTTCCATTTTTCATTTGAGGAAACAAAGGCTTAGTGAGGCCATCACTTCCCTATGGTGACGTAGTTGGGGTGAAACCGATTTTTAATCTTGTGTAAATGAATATAATACACTGAGCTGTTTTGACTCAAAACACTTCTGACACCAAATGTGGGAGTTTTCCACATCAAGCAGTTCTCCAGTTCAAAACTGAACTGGTGTCCTAGAATTCAATTTTGACACTACCTAGAGTTAGCATCAGACTCCACAAGTCCCACCAGACTGCCCTCACTTCAGGCGTCAGTTATAAGTATTCAGTTCCCATGTTACCCACACTTCTGTCTGCCTTGGCTACAAATCAGGGGTCCCCATGACCTCTCCCTGGTTTAATAATTTGCTAGAATAGTTTATAACACTCAGGAAATGTTTACTTACTATTACCAGATTATTATTAAGAATACAACTCGAACAACCAAACGGAAGAGATGCACAGCGCAAGGTATGGGGGTGGTGCATTAAGCGTCCATGCCCTCTGGGCATACCACCCTCCCAACATTTTGATATGTTAATCCAGGGCTCTCCAAACTCTATTGTTAGGGTTTTTGAGGTTTCCTTAGGGAGGCATGATTGATAAAATAATTGGCCCTGGGTGATTAACTCAATCTTCAGCCCCTCTCCCCTCAGCAGAGGTTGCGGTTAGGGCTGAATATTCCCTCTAATCATGCCTTGTTTCTGGTGACCAGCCCCCATCCTCAAGCTACTAGGGGCCTCCAGCCAGGAGCTATCTCATTAGGACACAAAAGATAACCAATTGAGATTTCAAGGCTTTCAGGAGCCATATGTCAGGAACCAGGGACAAAGACCAAATATTTTTATTATATACCATACACATAAAAGTTACTTGTAAATTTTATGTATATACACATTAATAATCTCATGTGTATTAGATTACAGAAGTTTAAAAGAGATACGCTGAATTTCAGGTTATTTATTGATGGAACAAAATGTTGCTCTTACTAAATGCAATTATTAATATTTTAGGGTAATATGATTGAATATCATTTTTGAAATATTGGTATAACTGTGTGATTGTGGGGGACGTTCCCGTGTGAGACCCCCAAAAGGCGTGGGTCTCACTATACGGTGAGCTTGATCCCAAACACAGTTTCCTACTGGAGGCAGTCGAGCTATCGGGAAGAAGGAACTGAAAGATGGATGATCAGTTTCTAATATTAACCACAATATAGTTTGGGCTTAAACTATGCGGTGCTGCTAGACCGAGTGACTCCCTACCAGCAACCAGTTTCTGCTTTTAGCTTTTAATAGCTTTAACCTTTTCTTTACTTTCAGGACTGCCTTGTACCCTAGATAATGGTTTAACTGTGGGGATATTTGCAAAGCAAATGCCACTATACGGATGGCTTTGATTCCAGACTCAGAAACTCCTGAATGGGGGAGTTGAGATAAGTTGAGTCAGGAGCAGACAAAGGAGAATCTGGTTAAAAGATATTCTGATGAGCAAAACCAGAAAATCTTTTCACATGTGAGTCCTAAAACAGGATCAAACCAAAAATACCTGCAGCCATGAGGAATAATGTCTGGATGTAAATAAGCTTTGTGATCACAGGAAATTCTATTACTTTTTACAACCACTGATGTGTATCTTGACTTCTCTATTGTATAGGCCATGTAAGGTATAGATTTGCATTTCCTCTTGCAATGACATAAACCAGAGCAAAGAAAGTGTATTTATTCCTGGCCTTTGAAAAATAAAGTTTGCTGTTTAGGCACGGCCTATCCAGCCCTCCGGACCCCTGCTTTCTCTGCCTCTCTTTATTTCTTTAAGCACACGCTCTCTTCCAGGTATTGGGACCCTCTTGCAGGTCGAGAGACCCCCGGCAGACATGCCTACCCTGCTCGGTCGCCCACGTGATTCAGCAGTTCAGTCTGCATCTAAGTTCAGCTTACCATTTCCGTGCTTCCCACCGTGATAAAGGTGAAGGGGGTGGCTGCATCCTACATCTTTTTCATTTCCCTTCTACCACATGCACAAATGTTTGTTAAAATTCAGCTAACATCTGTCAGAAGACTTTTCTATACAGTGAAAAAAAAATTCAGCTAATAAATTTCTTTCTTCCCTGATGTAGAAAACAAAAAACCCACACGATTTATTTGCCTGCAAGGAGGTTTTAGTGGCCTATATCCATTTGATTGGAACAGTGAAGCGTTAAGTCCTTGGTGTATTTCTTACTGAAAATAGCAATGCTTTTGCTTTTCAAGTGTGTGTGTGCTATGACAAATTCTGTTTGGGGGAAAAAATACATACTCATGTTTGAAATACTATTCAAACAGTATCCATGGCAGGGATTTTTAACCTGGAGTTCATGGGTAGAAGAAGTCAGTTGTCTGTGAATTTGATGGGAAAAAAAGTTTTATCTTTTATCTCACTGTCTCGTAGCTGAAATAATAGTATTTCCTTTCATCATGAATGTGAAGCAGGAAAATAGGGTCTGGAGGCAGGGGATTTAAGGCAGATTCACTCTTCAGCTACGACAGAAAATATCCTCTCCATAGGGCGTAGGCCTAGTAAATGACTTTGTAACTTCACTTTATCCTCTTCATTTACATAGGGCGCACCCCAGGTAACCAATGGAATCCTCTAGGGGTTATTTAAATTCCCAAAAATTCTCTAACGGGGCCTTTTGAGCTCCTATGCTTGGTCACGCTCCCACACTGTGGAGTGTACTTTCATTTTCAATAAATCCCTTTGTCCCTTCCTTGCTTTGTTTGTGCATTTTATCCAGCTCTTGGTTCAAGACGCCAAGAACCAGGACATCGTTCACTGTTAACAAATGTAGCTATAAACTGCCGAAGGATTAGCAGTACATGTTACTATGTCACCAGTAGAAATCACATAGACTTCAGGGTTATTGTAGATACCTCAAAATACCATTGATATTCATTACTGCAAACTCAGTGCTTTTTAGACCTACCACCAGGTGTTACTTAATATATTAATAAAGAGGCACACACACATATTACAAACTGTTTTTTTCTGAGACAGGGTATTACTCTGTCACCCAGGTGGGAGAGCAGTGGCACAATCTGGATTCACTGCAACCTCCGCCTCCTGGGCTCAAGCGATCCTCCCACCTCAGCCCCACCTGCCACCGGGACTACCGGCGTGAGCCACCGTCATGCCTGGCTAATTTTTGTATTTTTGGTAGAGACAGGGTTTCACCATGTTTCTCAGGCTTGTCTCGAACTTCTGAGCTCAGGCAATTCACCTGTCTTGGCCTCCCAAAGAGCTGGGATGGATTACAAGCATGAGCCACTGTGCCCAGCCACAATTTTAAAACTTTTGATTTAGCTGTGTACTTCATAAAAAAACAAAAAAAACCTTTTGATTATTTCAGCATAATGTCTTTTGTAACCCTATGTATTTTACTTTACGCATTTAAAGTCAACATTTTTTCTTTTTTGAGACTGGGTCTCACTCGTCACCCAGGCTGGAGTGCAGTGGTGAGATCACGGCTCACTGCAGCCTTAACTCCTGGGTTCAAGCAACCCCTCTGCCTCAGCCTTCCTCCTGAATAGCAGACACTACAGGCACATACAATGCCCAGCTCATTTAAAAAAAATTTTTTTAGACAGGGTCTCACTGCGTTGCCCAAGCTGGTCTTGACCTCCTGGCCTCAACTGATCTGACCTACTCAGCCTCCCAAAGTGCTGGGATTTCAGGTTTGAGCTATCACATCCAGCCTAAAATAAAACATTTTGAAAAGGGATCCATAGACTGGGACAAACTGCCAAAGGCTACATGGCACAAAAGAAAGGTTAAGACCCCTGATCTCAGGGTGTGAGGTAAAAAGTCTCTTACCCTTCTGTCCTGGAGTTCTGGATTCCCATTCCCAGAGATAGTCTATGATGTACAAGCTTAAGTACATATGTGTATATATTTATGTTGCGACCCAAATGATTGTGTACACTATTCTGTACCTCATTTTAAATTTTAACACGACTGCATGACATTCTGTTGAAGGATATACCATAATTTATCATCATCTATTGTTGGTGTTCAGTTTGTTTTCAAATAATGCTATAAGAAATATCCTTGTATCTT